GTTGAGGCTATATGGGGGATCTTTATAATAGCACTTGCCCCAACATTCTGTTGAGGCTATACGGGGGATCTTTGCCTTTGTATACACATGGGGAGCGGCAGTGCAGTGGTTAGCGCTACGAACCCGGCTACCCGAGTTCGATTACCGCCCACGGCCACCAACACCAGCGACGATTATCCAGACCGGTCCTGGGCCTCCCCTAGGTCGACTCGGCCTAAAATGAGTACCTGGTGCGGTGTGTAGTAAACATCGCCACTAGGAAGACAAAGGCGGCCTGGCATCGTGCTGGCCACCCCCCCCCCCCCTCGTGTGCCACCGTGCCGCTCTTCATAGGTGCTACTCGCCAACAGCACTTGTCCCTACAGTCTGTTAAGGCTATACGGGGGATCTTTATAACAGCACTTGCCCCAACATTCTGTCGAGGCTATACGGGGGATCTTTGTCTGTCTGTATACACGACTAGTGGGGAGGAGGAGGGAGGGGGCGAATGCTCTTAACGAGCTCACCCACCCAGAGTTCCCACGGGATGGGTAAATCAAGCAAAATACCAGTGTGCGTGCGTGTGCGTGTGCGTGCGTGTGTGTGCGTGTGTGCGTGTAGCGGTTAGCGTTACGCTGCACTATGAACCTGGCGACCCGGGTTCGATTCCCGCTCACGGCCAACACCAGTGACGATTATTTGAACCGGTCCTGGGCCTCCCCTAGGTCGACTCGGCCTGAAATGAGTACCTGGCGCTGTGTGTAAACATCGCCACTGGGGAGACAAAGGCGGTCGGGCGTGGTGCTGGCCACTCACGCCGTCGTGTGTCGTTCCGGTCTTCATAGGTGCTCGCTAACAGCACTTGCCCCTACAGTCTGTTAAGGCTATACGGGGGGATCTTTGTCTTTGTGTGGCGAGCGGTGGTGCAGCGGTTAGCGCGCTCCGCTATGAATCTGGCGACCCGAGTTCGATTCTCACTCACGGTTAACATTAAAAAAACAAGAATAGGTGTTTGACCCTTTCTGGCAATCAAACAGTCGTTGTGTGGAGATGTTCAAACACCAAATAGAAAGCTTTTTGCAAGGAATCAAGTTACTGCATTAACCACACTGCTCGCTAACAGCACTTGCCCCCCAAAGGCTACGTAAAGGGAATATTTGTGTGCGAGGCCTGCGTTGGCTGGGTGTCATGCAGCCCACGTGCCCGGCCACCGCATGTCCAAGCAGCTTCTGTTCGACCGGACAGAGGGGGTTATAAACTGGTTGCGGCACGGGCTGGGGAAGAGATGGGGTGGCACGGCAGAGGAGGATGTGGATCTGGGTGGACTTAGCGATGACTAAAGGAATTCTACTGGGCAGTCGGGAGGCAGCTGCCCTCCAAAAGCAGTGGAAGGCGGAGGAGCAACGCTCAAAACAACAAGCGGAGCGATGGGCGGCTAATAATTCTGCAAAGTTGGCGGACTGGGAGCACAATCGGTGCATCTGTCAGGAGTATCAGTAAGTTAGCCATAACACCTGGGTCTGTCCCGTGACCTCCTGTCAGCGAGCCTTCGACACTTCACAGTAGCCTCAAAGTGCATCTAGCCTGGCACAAGCGCCGTGGTGGCGTCACCGACCCACTTAGTGGTGAATGGCAGCTGTTGTTGTTGTGTGTGTGTGAAAAAGTGTGTGTGTGTGAAAGAGTGTGTGTGTGTGTGTGGGGAGCGGTAGTGCAGTGGTTAGCGCGCTGTGCTATGAACCCGGCGACCCAGGTTCGATTCCCGCTCACGGCCAATACCAGTGACGATTATCTGAACCGGTCCTGGGCATCCCCTAGGTCGACTCAGCCTCAAATGAGTACCTGGTGGGGTGTGCAATCATCGCCACTGGGGAGACAAAGGCGGTCGGGCGTGGTGCTGGCCACCCACCCCCTCGTGTGCCGTTCTGGCCTTCATAGGTGCTCGCTAACAGCACTTGCCCCTACAGTCTGTTAAGGCTATACGGGGGATCTTTGTATTTGTGTGTGTGTGGGGAGTGGTAGTGCAGCATCAGCACGCTGAGCGTGGTGCTGGCCACCAAACTCCCTCATGTGCCTTCATAGGTGCTCGCTAACAGAACTTGCCCCTACAGCAAGTTAAATGCTATACAGAGAATCATTGTATTTTGGCGTGGGAATGTGTGTGTGTGTCTCGAGTTTAATTAGCCACCGACTATTTTCCGTATTGTTGGTAGCCAGGCGGTGTGAATGGTAGCCACAGCGAGTCGAATACCGTCTGATGTGTGGTGGCTGCTGGATGCACAAGTAATTTTGCAGGTTGCTAAGAGCGACAGGCCCAGCTGTAATTAAGACCCCCACCACCATATTCATCATCACCACCACCATCATTATTATTATCACGAAGCAAGTGCTGTGAGCGAGCACCTTTGAATGCTGGCACGGCACACAAGGGGGGGGGTTGGCTGGGGGTGGGTGGGTGGCCAGCACCACGCTGGGACGCCTTTTGTCACCATCATTAACCGTCCCATCACCACCACCACCACCACCCACTCGGGTTGGCACTCAACAAAGCCATTCTCAACATCGTCCTTGCTTTGAGGCAGATGTCCTGGGAAATCTGAGAGGCTGCCCAGAATGTTAAGAGCCCCGGTTTTTAATACGACACCACTCGACGCGATGCATTTCCATGCAGTTTTTTTTTTTTGCCTCTTCTGCTCAAGTGGCATATTCGTTCTAGATTTGAAGCTTTCGTGACTGCAAGGATTCATATTCTTAGGTTTTTTTCGGTAAAGTATCATTTACAGCAAGCGTGCTGTGACGGTTCCACCTGAAGACGGAAGCTTGTGTTGCCTCCGAAACGTCGTGATTTTTTATTTTATTTTTATTTTACTTTTATTAATTTGAATTTTTTACCTACGTGGCTTTACCGAAAAAACCTAAGAACATGGCATATTCGTGTTTTTATTCTCCTGCTCATATGGCTCGGTTCATTTGAATCTCTGATATGGCAACCCTCGCCCAACATCACTACAACCACCTCTACCAGCACCACCCACCGCTACCACCAACACTATCACCAGCATCACCACGATCACGAGAATCACCACAATTATCATCACCAACAACACCACCACGTTTTCCTACACCAAAGATCCCACATTTGCTGGCCTATGAAGGCCGGCAAAGCAAATGAGGGGGTGGGTGACCGGTACTATGCCGGGTTAACCTTTATCCTCCGCGGTGGCGATATTTACACACTCCGGCAGATACTAATTTTGAGGCCGAGTCGACCTAGGGGAAGGCCCAGGACCAGCTTAGATGAGCGTCATCGGCATTGGAGCCCGTCAGCAGGAATCGAACTCGGGGAGTCATGACCGTGTTCGTAGCGCAGCGTGCTCACTTTCTTGTCGAACTTAAACTGAACTTCTTTTCCACCATACGTAGCCGACAGTGCAGGGGAAGGACAACAAAACGCAACAAAGCAGTTCTAAAGAAATGAGCTTTCAATCTGGATTTAAAAGTGCATAGCTACCAGTGGCTTCCTAATAGTTGATCAAACGTCACCTGCTCCAGTCTCACAATAAGCGGTGGGATCATTGGCAGAGGCGGTTAGGTGCCTCAAGATTGAGAGACAGATATTCTGCATTTGAATCCATGGATTCAGCCACTCGTGGTTAAACCGGTTTCTGTAGACCAGTTCGTCGATGGGTAGTTCTCTACGGTGGGCCAAAGTGTGTGTCCCCCCCGTACTCCCGCCTCTCAAAGCAGTCTGGCCAGGGTGGAAGAGTAGGCCAAGTACCCTCTCTAGAAGCTCCCTCGAGTAGAATCCCTTCCGCCAGCAGTGGCAGGAGCAAGCGAATTCATTTGTATTATTGGTTCTTTCGGTAAAGACACGTAGAAGGGAAATAATAAAATAATAAAAATAAAACATAATAAAAATGAATGTCTTTATTATTTAATTAAATATTTTCTTATGCTTTATTATTGTTTTGTTTCCCTTCTACGTGACTTTACCGAAAGAACCAAGAATATGAATCCTTGCAGCCCCGAAAGCTTTAAATCGGAATTCATTTTTATCATCACTATTATGAATTCCTGACTGCAGGAATTCATATTATTTGGGTTTTTCGGTAAAGTCGCATAGATTAAAAAAACTAAAAAACTACGACAATTAGAACTTCGCTTGTGCTGCGATCGAAACGTCCGCAGTTTTTTCGTTGATCTAATTACTTTTTGAACCATACACGTGACTTTACCGAAAGACCCAAAATAATACTATTATCATTGTTATAACTCCATCGACACCGCCGTGGCACTGCAAGACACGGCGGACTCTGACCTCCAATCCAACCACAACAGAGGTGTTTGGGTTAGATCGCGTAAATAAATAAACGTGTCGTTGATCATTGGTTTTTTACCCTTTCATCTGGCAACAAAAATTACACCTTTTTTTACGAGGAGTCATGTTTGCATTGACCACAATACCTGCGGTCGTATTGCAAACAAAAAACACAACTCTGATAATGTATGCACTGTCCTTGAAGTTGTTGTAGTACAGAGTTAGACTGATGGCCTTAATCTAAGTTGTCTTGTGGTTGTTGTTGTTGTTTGACTTGCATCCCACTGGGATTTTTGCACACAGCGTTGGTGTGTTTTTTCTGCAATATTTTGCTTTCTTTTCTCGGATTTTCTGTTTACACTCAGTCACATTCACTTTAAGATGTTTTTTGTTCATGTTTTTGTTTGTTGCGGTTGCACCCGATTCAAGAGCCGAATGGCTCACAGGGCTATACCTAATAAATGAACTTGAACTTGATTGGTCCACACCCGAGACAGCTTTCCTTAGAGCCTAGTCTCACATGGTGTTGGACCAGATGACGCCAAAAGGCGCGCAAATAAACGTGTCGTTAAAACCCGCCACCGCCCGACACAGCCGACCAGTAAGGGTTGTCACGTAGACAGAACACGGCCAATCCAACCACTACGCGATCGCTCCACCACTACCCCCCACTCCCCTAAATCCGCGCCACCACCCCACCGCTCACCTGCAGTGGGATCCGGCGGTCCAAAGTGCAGTGTGTAGCGCAGCACGTGGTGGTTGTTCCACACGTAGAGGGCCCCGTCGCGCGGGTTGTACTGCACCGACGTGATGAACTGGTACGGGTTGGGGAACGGGATGGAGACGCGTGCCTCCCGCTGCGAGTTGGTGTCGTACACGTAGTCGATGCGGTCGCTCGTCCCCCCACCGCCTCCTCCTCCGGCGGCGACGGAGTCCGACCCCCCGTCGCCGTCGTCCTCGTAGGTCGAGCGCAGGACGTAGAGGACGCCGCACGCCATGAACGCGTTGGAGGCCGAGCGCTTGTCGTAGGCCGTCTCCCAGGAGGCCTCGACGCGCAGCGTGTACGGGTTGAAGTGGCTCACCACCACGCGCCCGTTGTTCTGCTCCGTGGCGTAGATGACCCAGAGGCCGTTCTCGTCGGCCGCCAGGTCGATGTCGGACTTGCCGCCCCAGCGGTAGGGCGACGTGTCGTGGTAGTTGGCGTTGGGGATGAACGCCTCGCCGCTCTTGACGCGCGTGCGCAGGTCGAACTTGACGACGTTGCGCGTTCGCTCCTGCGACCACGCGCGGGGGAGAGGGTGGGGGGGGAGATGTTAGGTGAGTGTGTGGGGGGGGGAGAGGCGAGGGAGAGTGAGTGAGAGGTGAGTGTATATGACGGTGAGGTGAATGTGTGTGAGGGAGCGGTGAGTGAGTGTGTGAGGTGAGTGAGTGTGTGCGTGTGGGGAGAGATGAGTGAGTGTGTGGGGTGAGGTGAGTGTGTGTGTGAGGTGAGTGAGTGTGTGAGTGAGGGAGTGAGTGTGAGTGGTGAGTGAGTGTGTGAGTGTGTGTGTGTGTGAGATGTGAGTGAGTGTGTGAGGTGAGTGAGGTGAGTGCGTGTGAGATGTGAGTGTGTGTGTGAGATGTGAGTGAGTGTGTGCGTGTGGGGTGAGGTGAGTGTGTGTGTGTGAGGTGAGTGAGTGAGGGAGTGAGTGTGAGTGGTGAGTGAGTGTGTGAGTGTGTGTGTGTGTGAGATGTGAGTGAGTGTGTGCGTGTGGGGAGAGATGAGTGAGTGTGTGGGGTGATGTGAGTGTGTGTGTGAGGTGAGTGAGTGTGTGAGTGAGGGAGTGAGTGGTGAGTGAGTGTGTGAGTGTGTGAGATGTGAGTGAGTGTGTGCGTGTGGGGAGAGATGAGTGTGCATGTGAGGCAAAGGTAGGGAGGGAGAGGGGGCGGGTGTGGAGAGGTAAGGTGAGAGTGAGAGAGAGGGGTGGGGAGAGTGGGTGAGTGGGTGAAGGTGTGAGCGCGAGAGATCCGGGCGTGATGGCTCTGGCCACATCACTCCCTCGTGCACTGCGCCCGCCATCACAGGTGCTGCTCGCTAACAGCACTTGCCCCAACAGTCCGTCGAAGGCTTTACGGGGGATCTTTGTCTTTGAAGAGCACAAGTCAAGTGCGTGGGGGGGCGCTCCTCGCAGCGTGTGAGCGAGAGAGGAGGTGACGGTGTGAAGGTGTTTGAGTGTGAGTTTCTGAGTGTGTGAGTGTGTGAGCGAGTGTGTGTGTGTGTGAGAGTGTGTGTGAGCGAGTGTGTGAGTGTGTGTGTGAGCGAGAGTGTGTGTGAGCGTGTGAGTGAGTGTGCGTGTGAGTGTGTGAGCGTGAGTATGTGTGTGAGCATGCGTGCGGTGTGTGTGTGTGAGCGAATGTGTGAGCGTGTGTGTGAGTGTGTGTGTGAGTGTGTGTGAGCGAGTGTGTGTGTGAGTGTGTGAGCGAATGTGTGTGTGAGTGAGTGTGTGTGAGCGAGTGTGTGTGTGAGTGAGCGTATGTGAGCGAGCGTGTGAGTGTCTTGCGCGAGTGGGAGCGTTAGCCATAATCCAATTCAATCCCGCAAGTCAACCGATCTCATCGCCGCTTCATCTCCGTGGTGGCCGTGCCCTTTGGACGCACTCCGCATCCTATGGCTGCCAGTCCATCACCAGTGTCGTACATTGGGGCTGGCGGTCTTCTAGCGGTGACACGATACGGACCAAGCCAGCCCTGCTCTCATTCACGGCCCACACGTCGCATCGATCCTACGCACGTGTTCTCGAACCCACACGGATCCTCCTCTTTTCCGTCCATCGGCGTTATTCACGATCGCGTATCTGCCCCCTGCGCTCGGCTTTCAGATTTGTCGCGACATTTTCTTCGTCTCGATTGAAAGCTTTCGTGACTGCAGGGATTCATCTTCTTGGTTCTTTCGGTAAAGTCACGTAGAAGGGAAATAATAAAATAATAAAAATAAAACATTACAAAATAATAATATAATAAACTAATAGAATATAATGTTTTATTTTTTATTTTATTATTTCCCTTCTACGTGACTTTACCGAAAGAACCAAGAAGATTTTCTTCGTCATTTGGCAACGTTTAAACTCTATACCACGAGCTGCCATGTAGCTCATTTTTAAATCCTTTATATTAAGTTCACTTGCGTGCTTGCGTGCTTGCTTGCTTGCTTACGACCGTGCAAATCTTTCGGTCGTTTCTTAACCCACTTCTCGTGATCCAATCGAGCTGACATTTTGCCCACAGACTCGTTGTGCGAGACAATTAATGTTCGTGAAAATTTTTTTCCAAAATTTTACACTGTTTAGGGAAAACAAATTAAATATTTAATTACCAATTGCTTAATACTGGCAGACAATCATCTGACCCATAGGTGGCAGCCATCTCAAGCCAGAGGACGAGAGGACTCTAGCCGCCACGCATATAAAGGATTTATAGTGAAAAACTTTGTTTTTACGGGTTATACTTATTCAGAATCGACCCGGCCACAGACGATCGCCCAACGCGTGTCTATGAACGTGGAGGGAAAAACCGCAGGTCGACGGAGAAAAATCCACGTCAGGGTCGGGATCGAAACCACGACGACCCTGTACACACCAGGCGAGGTAGTTAACATCTCCTAGCCACCGCGTCACCCATTTGTGACCCATCCCGTCGTAGGAAGGCGATGTACGTATGCACGTTGAACTTCTTTTGCACCGTAAGTCAGGACACGTGGGGTTATCATGCTTATGTTTACCACTGGCATCAAAACATTGTCATTGTTGATTCTTTAACTTAACATTTTATTTATTAGCATTATTAACATCTGTTTTTTCCTCTTCCTTTTCGGATTACACACGTGTATGTGATTTGTTAAAATAAATATAATAACCCGACGTGTCCTGTGTACACGCGCGCGCGCACACAGATTAAGATCTCTTCGAACTGAGGCACACCGGTAAGCCAAATTCCGTTATCGACTCGCGTTTCCATAAAAGCGCTCCAAACCTATTCCTGTCGCGAAAATTAGCTGCTCGGAAATGAGGGGGGGGGGGGGGAGACAATTTTTGTTAAAACGAGTTAATTAAAAATGCATTTGCGAGGCAACCGTGCAATTATCACCCTCACCTAAAACAATATTTTATTTTACTAACTGCTGTCGGCGGCAAATTTCTTTTTTCCAAATGCGAGGAGCCCACGGGAAATTAAAGCGTCCTAAATTTTGCCGTCAATTCCTCAATTTCCGAAAAGGTAAATCCTGCGAAAGTGACTCTGTGCGTCGAGTTCTGAGAGAGACGGCAGCGGGGGGTGGGGGGCGGGGGGGAATAAGCCGAGGAACCGATTCGTCGTTGTAATCAATTAGAATTGATTGACGTTCGCGAGAAACCTCAAGCCTTCGCCGCCGACGATGACTGTGCGAGGAAGAAACATTAACCCGTAAAAACAACGTTTTTCACTATAAATCCTTTATACGCGTGGCATCGGGGCGGCTAGAGTCCTCTCGTCCTCTGGCTTGAGATGGCTGCCACCTATGGGTCAGATGATTGTCTGGCAGCATTAAACAATTGGTAATTATTATTTTTTTTCCCTAAACAGTGTAAAATTTTGGAATTTTTTTTCACGAAAATACATTGTCACGCACAACGAGTCTGTGTGCAAAATGTCAGCTCGATTGGATCACGGGAAGTGGGTTAAAAAACGATCGAAAGATTTGCACAGTCCTAAGCAAGCAAGCGAACTAAATATAAAGGATTTAAAAAAAGGATTAATCCCTCACAATTCAATTTTGGTCCCGCCTCTCTGCAACGTGGCTTCAAATCCCAGCTGCCTCTGGGGATTAAAAGCACATCGTTCGACTTGTCGTACGACGACGAACCCTGGGCTAAACGATCGTCTTCTCACCTCGGGCTACGCGGCGATGGGTAGGCGCGCAGCATTCTGACAGTTGTTGTTGTTGTTATTTGAATGAAGCGTGACGAAATAGGTAATTTTTTTTGTACGTTACGAATATTTCGTTACTTTGTTATTGGCCGAGGATTGCATTTGCGTGGTATCACCCTCGTAAATTTGATTGATCGTTGGAAAACTGCGTAACAATACATTTGTTAAGAAATTATTATATAGTCAAATGTTAACACTTCTGAGAACTTTGCAACAAAACTACAAGAAATGTGCCTCTGGGCTCTGGAGATCACCTGGAGAAGATTAAAGTCATGCAGACTCTTTGACTTTTTGAAGCTATTAACATACTTTTGTTATCATGTTACAGTGCATTATTATCCGTTCCTTTTCCATTAAAAACGATAGTCCCATGTAAGTGTTAACATTTTTTTGAGACACCCTGTCTGTTTGTGTGTGTCATCTCGGTCATCTCAGTCAGTCGACCCCGTGGCACCTGCTGGGTCTGCCCCGTGACCTCCTGCCAGCGGGCGTTCGACACTTCACGTGGCTTCAAGGTGCACGTGGCCTGGCACAAGCGTCGTGGTGATGTCACCGCCACTTAGTGGCGAATGGCGGTTGTTGTTGTGTCATCTCGGTCATCTCAGTCTGTCGACCCCGTGGCACCTGCTGGGTCTGCCCCGTGACCTCCTGCCAGCGGGCGTTCGACACTTCACGTGGCTTCAAGGTGCACGTGGCCTGGCACAAGCGTCGTGGTGATGTCACCGCCACTTAGTGGCGAATGGCGGTTGTTGTTGTGTCATCTCGGTCATCTCAGTCTGTCGACCCGTGGCACCTGCTGGGTCTGCCCCGTGACCTCCTGCCAGCGGGCGTTCGACACTTCACGTGGCCTCAAGGTGCACATGGCCTGGCACAAGCGTCGTGGTGACGTCACCGCCACTTAGTGGCGAATGGTGGTTGTTGTTGTTGTTGTAATATTAGTATGCTCACAACTGGAGGGTTCTCTCTTCTCAGTTCATTCATTCTGCAACTGCAATGTCTACTGGAGTTATGAGCTCAGTCTACAACCTATAAAAATAGCTCTTTTTCAGAAGCGACCTGGCCACAAATGATAGCTCAATGTAGTGGCCTAATCACGTGGAAATGTACAGTGGACGAATGCTCGAAACACGTGATGTTGATCCTAAACGTGGAGGGAAAAAAGAACGGAAGACCCGGGGAAAAATCCACGGGGAGAGACACGCAAACTCCAAATATAAAGCAGGCGTCAGGGTCGGGATTGAACCCATGACCTCCTGTACACCAGGCGAGGTAGTAAACATCTCTACACCATTTTTCGATTTAAAGCTTTCGTGAATGCAGGGATTCATATTCTTGGTTCTTTCGGTAAAGTCACGTAGAAGGGCCGAAACGTCGTGAGAATTTCATTTTATTACGTTTTATATTTATTATTTTATTATTTCCCTTCTACGTGACTTTACCGAAAGAACCAAGAATATCTCTCCACCTGTCATTGCAACAGTCCCCCTCGCCTGATCAAAGTTTAGTGTCAACAACGTATGTGTGGGCGCGCCCTCCCCGGAAAGATCAATCAAAGTTCTATCCGGCCCTCGGTTAGGCAAAAGCTCTCTCCCCACCACTGTCCTATACTTCAGATAATGAACACGATTAATAATTCAACACATTTGGTATTCGCGCCATTCCTGAGAACCGCAGGGTCCATCACGAATGAAGGCGCCATTTCACAGACGAGTATACGCCGCCAGTAGGGGGAAGGGCGACCGTTGCCAAGTGGTTTCATCCATGTCCCCTTGTATACCGGGCAAGATAGTGAACATCTCTCCACCGCACCGCCCGCATGGCCCCTATCGTCATCGTCACGGCTCAGTCATACCAGGTAAGGTCCTCCTGAGCCATGCAGCTCTTTTCCAGAAGCGACCTGGCCACGTAAAATGATAGCTCAACGAAGTGGCTCATCACGTGGCAGCCAATTACTCTAAACGTGTATGGATTCTAAATGAGGTGGTTAACATCTCTCCGCCGCGGCGCCCCTACCGCCCCCCCCTATCGTCATCATCATCGCCGTCGTCATCGTCGTCATCATCATCATCGTTGTCGTCATCGTTGTCATGGTTGTCGTCATCATCATCGTCGTCATCATCATCGTCGTTGTCGTCATCGTCGTGGTCGTCATCGTCGTCATCATCATCGTTGTCATCGTCATCGTCGTCGTCATCATCATCGTCATCATCATCATCGTTGTAGTCGTTGTCGTCGTCATCATCATCATCATCGTCATCATCATCGTCGTCGCCGTCGTCGTCATCATCGCCGTCGTCGTCGTCATCGTCGTCGTCATCATCATTGCCGTCATCATCATCATCATCATCGTCATCATCATCATCGTCATCATCATCATCGTCGTCGTCGTCATCATCGTCATCGTCGTCATCATCGTCATCGTCGTCATCATCATCATCGTTGTAGTCGTTGTCGTCGTCATCATCATCATCGTCGTCGTCCCACTATTGCTCACGCGGACAAAAAAAAAAACCCCCGCGCCGGGCACCGACCTTGTTGAAGAACACGGCCCCGTCGTACACCACGAAGCCCGTTCCGTCGACGCGGTGCGGCAGCTTGTAGTTGGTGAGCGGTCGCCCTGCCAGGAAGTCCTGGAGGGATGCGTACTCGGTGAGGCTGTCGGTGCGGTACGGCGTCCACGGCATGAAGTACACCTTGTCGGTGGCCTGCAGCGGGTCGCGGCACCACGAGCCGGCCTGCTGCTCCGCCTCCAGGAGGTGCAAGGCCTCGCCAACGAGGCGGACGCTGCCCGGGCACAGAAAGACTGCCACGGGGAACGAGGGACAGACGAACGAACGGTCGGGTCAGGGATTCGCGTTCGCTCCCTGGTTGATGTACTCTAAACGTAAAACTATATTTTAGCAGGTAAGGCCCACTAAGCTATGTTACTCTTTTGCGGAAGCAACCTGGCCGCGCAAATTATAGCTCAACGAAAGTGACTTATAACGTGGAAATGTACAGCAGCATCCAAATACTCTAAACGCGTGACATCGATTCTAAATGTGGAGGGAAAAACCGGAGGGCCCGGAGAGAACTCCACACAACCACGGGGCAGAACACGCAAGCCTCCAAGTATACAGCAACAGTCGTCAGGGTTGGGATCGAACCCACGACCTCCTGTATACCAGGCGAGGTAGTTAACATCTCGCCACCGTTTGCGTGCGTGTACTGATGGGCGTATATAGGTGCCGTCTGCGTCGCAGCAGAGCCTGATGAAGCCGACCGTCTACCAGAAACGATCATGTTTCTTAAACATACACGTGTGGTATGTGCATCGTGAGCTTAGTGTGTGGCATAAATCGACAGATTCATCGTCGCGCGTCGATTAAATACTTGGGTGAAATGAAACCGTCGCGAACACAGGCAATTCAGCTTTTGCACGGAAACAGTGGGCATGCAGAGGATTGTGGGGTTTCCCAGGATGCACCGAGGCCTAGCCTAAACGAATTTCAACTGAAGGTGTTGTTACCGGGATTGCCGCACAATATTTTTTCACGATACAACATCAAACTTGACGACAGGACGATTTCCCAATAACGTTGTAGTACTCGTATTTGGCATGTTATTTATGTTGTAATCGATGCAGTCTATAATGCTCATGTCAGTTACGCCAGAAATGCGGTCAACAATTACACGAACCATGGCAATGACGATGTCACACAATCGCCGTGCTGTCAATTAACGCCGAAAACTGTTTGGAAAGCGTTGATTCGATGTTATAATAAGTATTTATTTACAACCTGCGTAACTGCAATTGTTACTTTCGCGGGACATAAAAGACACGGGAAAAATGCTGCGAGAGCAACGAGAATCGCGATCGAAGCACATTTAGCCACGACGGACGGCACGATGATCTTATAATCATCGCAAGAATCTCGCCAGATTATTGTACGGGTTGACTGTAGCGGTCGTTAACCTGGGTGCAAAGTGCACAATAACTTCTAGATTTGAAGCTTTTGTGACTGCAAGGATTCATACTCTTAGTTCTTTCGGTAAAGTCACGTAGGTAAAAAATGAAATTAAAATTTATAAAAATAAAACAATAAAATTCACGACGTTTCGGAGGCAACACAAGTCTCCGTCATCAGGTGGGACCGTCACAGCCAGATTAGCTGCAGGCCTTGCACAATAACCCTCTCCGGGGATCACAATGAGGAACGTCACACAGCAGTTCGTTGGCACGGGTGTGTCTTTTTTTCCATGCACGTCCAAGCAGGCCCATGAACTCTCATGCACGCAACAAGGAAATCGTCAACGTGGAGAAGTTTAGCGGTGCAGTGTTTCGTTGCCTGGAAATTCGTTGCGGCCTACGAAATTCCCTTTCGGCAAACCTTGACCACACTTAGTCACATTCACTTTAAGATGTTTTTTTTGTTCATGTTTTAGTTTTTTGTTTGTTGCGGTTGCACCCGATTCAAGAGCCGTATGGCTCACAGGGCTATACCTAATAAATTAACTTGAACATCGGCAACTCGGATGCTTCGACTTCGCGATACCGACGCAAATCATGGGGACACTTTGATTGCGTCGTAGTCATTACACGATGGGTAGTACAGTGCGTTGTATCAATTGTGATACTCAAGTAGACAAGCCTGAGCCTTCAACACTCCCTTCACCAGCCCCCCCCTTGCTTGCCTTGGCAGCGCAGCCCAAAGGGCTCCCCCCACTCCTCCCGACCCCCTGAATCAGTTAGGAAATCTAGGCAAGAAGCGGCACGTAACGCAGCCTAAAGAAAAAAACCAAGGTTTTTTTTTTTTCCAATGATTAAAATGTAGAGATCGCATCCATTAACAAATGGAATTTTCGCGAGATGAATTGCGGCGGTAAAAACGCAACGAAATAATTTACTTTAGGACATAACTGCAGGCCCTTCTCACTGCCAGTGTGTTCCCATGACAACCATTTCGAGTGTCGGCAACATCCGGGCCTCACCCGAGCCAATCGCATGAGCAGCTAACTGCACCCTTAACGCCGACACGTTTGTAGAATATATATGAACATTATTAACAACTAGCTCCCATACTAATAGGGGTTTTTCCCCTTGTTTCTGGCAACACAACTGACACCTTTTGCAAGGAATCATGCTTACATTAACCACAATACTTGCAGTCAAATGCAAACAAAAAACAATACTCTGATAATTTATGCATTGTCTTTGAAACTGATTGGTCCATAAATTATCAGAGTATTGTTTTTTGTTTGCATTTGACTGCAAGTATTGTGGTTAATGTAAGCATGATTCCTTGCAAAAGGTGTCAGTTTTGTTGCCAGAAAAAATGGGAAAAGCCCTATTAGTATTTTTCGATTTAAAGCTTTCGTGACTGCAGGGATTCATCTTCTTGGTTCTTTCGGTAAAGTCACGTAGAAGGGAAGTGATAAAATAATAAAAATAAAACATAATAAAATCAAATAATTCTCACGACGTTTCGGCTACAACGCAAGCAGCCGTCTTCAGGTGAAGAATGAGACACTGCCAAGCTAGGCGCTTATATATAAGCTTGGCAGTGTCTCATTCTTCACCTGAAGACGGCTGCTTGCGTTGTAGCCGAAACGTCGTGAGAATTATTTGATTTTATTATGTTTTATTTTTATTATTTTATCACTTCCCTTCTACGTGACTTTACCGAAAGAACCAAGAAGATGAAACCCTATTAGTATATTTTGGTACTGGCGAAGGAGGTCCCATGATGCACTAGCTCCCAATTTGCAGCCTTTTGCTGCCTTCTCTCATCCGCACCCTCTCTCCTACCCCCACTGCAGACCACAACGACTCAAACGGCCGTCTGGATACAGAGTCACATTGTGATTTGTAACTTTGATCACTGCCTGCGTGTCGATAGTTCAACGTGCCATTGCATCGAGGGGCTACTATGCGGCGTTATCTTGGTGTGGTCTGGGACCGTTTTTGCCGCCTGCTTGCCGCCTTGCCCCAATCTTGATAAATCGGACTGACGTAATTTCAAGAGCGCATTACTTATTGATATTTCGTGACTTGCATTTTCTCCATTTTGCTCTCCTGTCGTCTTTTTCGTTGCTGCGTCGTTTTGCTGCCGTCAACTCGCCCCCCCTCCCGTAAGCTCGTCGGATTCCTCTCCCTCCAAGTCGAAGTAAAGATTCTGAACCGTCGAACGTCGTAGCACCGCTTAACTTCCCACGGAAGGGGGGGGGGGGGAGAAGTGTCGCGATCGCCACGTACGCGCGCGCCGTGACGCTACCTTTTTGCTCCAGCCCTTCGCGAGCGCGATTTTTTTTTTAGGGGAGGAGGGAAGGAAAAAGGCGGTGAAGCGAGAGACAAAGGGAGGATTAAAACATGGATTGAGAAGACAAATGCATACAGACGGGACGGGGCGCAGCGCAGACAACGCTCGTAACGGTAGACTCTCCATTTGTCCGCGCTAATGACGGCCGCGGATCATTCGAAATCGCGGAGAATCCCAAAAAAATATAACCATTTTCCGCGGATCTCTGCGCCAAAAGCCACTAACGCAGGCATCGATTACTTTAAAGTGAAGAAAATCGAGTTTGATAATGAACAAAACGAACATTTCTAGTCCAAAATGTATTGATCTCGTTTCATTACAAAACTGCACACAAAAAGACAACGCTACTCACTTAAACGATTTGGAAAAATCCTAAAGACGGAATTTTTGCTTCAATGAGCCCGCTTTCCTTTTTGCGAATTGACGCCCCTTAATCGAAGCAATACCAATTTGTCAGAAAGCGGCGGAGTCATCCAGTTGCTCTTTCGATTTATAACGAAGGCGGACGATCGATGCGCGTGCTCGGTGCAAACACCTTTCAGCTCCCACGCAGAAGACTCGGCCCACTAAGTGGACAGCGGAGCCATGCAAATCACAATTAATCAAACTCCGCCTACTGTTGTTAAGGTGCTGCAAATACTGTACTGTAGAGGTGATCACGTGGATTTTGGATGAAACCAGAGCACATATTTGTTCGGTTTAAGCACGTGATTTGTATTAAACATTTCCAGGATTAACAAATGTGTAACTGTTTCTAGATCATATTTTTGATTCTTTCGGTAAAGTCACGTAGAAGGGAAATAATAAAATAGTAAAAATATTAAACAATAAAAATTTATCATCACCTGATGACGATTGCTTGTGTTGCAGTCGAAACGTCGTGAGAATTTTTTATTGTTTTATATTTTTATTATTTTATCATTTCCCTTCTACGTGACTTTACCGAAAGAACCAAGAATATGAATCCCTGCAGTCACGAAAGCTTTAAATCAAAATTTGCTTCTAGATCATTCATTTTGGGCTTGAGGCAAAAAAATCCACGAGTTATTAATTCACGTCAAATCTCAGGCGCCGCGGTTGATCCGCAAATCGGATAAACCGCACGCGGAAAATCGAGAGTCTACCGTACGCTGAACTTCATTCGCACCGTACGTAGCCAACCGTGCTAATCGGAGCTGCGATTCGTGCTCAACCTAATCAGAGACAAGGCAGAAAGACCCACTTCCGGGATGAGCTTTCAGATATCATCACCACCATCATCATCATTTTTCAGCAGAAACGTTTAAATGCGTCAGAATCTTCATACACATTTACGGATGTTACACAATGGGGTTGGGAGTGGCGACGCAGCCGAAAGTGCGACAAAAAACCCGACGGCATCAGTGGTACTTGCGCAGTGGGTCTGGCACGGCCATCATGAACCCTCTTTCCCCTGCCCCCCACTAAAGGGGTGTTGAACCTCCTGAAGCAAAAGAAAAACCACCCGGGCCCAGCGCTAAAACCCAGAAACACACTGGCTGCAGCCATTATGAACCACCCCCCACCCCCCTCAGTGAGAAAAGGAGACACAACCCAGGCTGCATGTGCCGCCTCTGTTCGTGTGTTGCAAGACACTTCCCATAATGAGCTGTTTGGCGAGCGCAACACAACTGAATTGTTTGGTTTAATAGCTGTGTCTCAGGCTAGGCGTGGAACACACGTGTGTTTCTGTGTTTGGTGATCACACCCAATAGCTTCCAGGCCCCGCAAGTGGAATGGAGAAGGCAGAGCGAGAGGAATACTCGGCACAGTGTGCCAGGTGCAACAACAACATTTTTTACGGGCTTAGTGGTGGACTGCAAGCGAGTTAAAATTGTGCTGACGATTATTTAAACCGGTCATGGGCCGCCTCTTGTTTGACTGGTGCGGTGCGTAAACGTGGCCACTGGGGAGACAAAGGCGGTCGGGCGTGGTGCTGGCCACCCACACCCCCTCGTGTGCAGTGCCGGCCTTCATCGGTGCTGCTACTCGCGAACAGCGCTCGTCCCGACAGCCTGTCAAAGGGCGTTACGAGGTGGGGGGGCATCTTTGCCCGGGTGTGCGTGCGTGTGCGTGCGTGCGCACACTCCGTGAGTACTCACTGTAGGGGACGCACTCGTACCAAACCTCCAGGTACTTGTACGTTCCGGGACAGGGGTCCGGAAACACCTCGTTGCCGGCGACGACGAGGCACTGCGTCCTGTTGTTGCACCTGCGGGGGGCGGGCGTAGGGAGGAGGGGGGGGGGAGTGGAGCGGAGCACGCGCGAGCCGTGGTTTAGTGGCAGGGCAACGTTACATGGCACAACACCCCCCCCCCCCCCCCGTTAACCCCCCCCCGCCCCCCCACCGGTGCCTCGATTCTCGGCCACAGCTGGGCCAAGCATCCCCAGTGCAGGCCCCTCCTGTGAGAGGGTGATGATGAGAATCAGGCCCTTTGTATGGTATCAAATAACTGGCATATTTATTAGAATTGTTATGATTCTTACTATTCTTAGGTTTTTTCGGTAAAGTCACGTAGGTAAAAAATTAAAATTAATAAAAGTAAAATAAAAATCACGACGTTTCGGAGGCAACACAAGCTTCCGTCTTCAGGTGGAACCGTCACAGCCCGACAGCTGTATCAAGTTACTTGAAGCTTGTGTTGCCTCCGAAACGTCGTGATTTTTTTTATTTATTTTACTTTTATTAATTTTAATTTTTCACCCACGTGACTTTACCGAAAAAACCTAAGAATATGAATCCTTGCAGTCACAAAAGCTTCAAATCTACAATGATTCTTACTGTTGGGGGGTGGAGAAATGGGAGGCGGGCAGGGATAGTTGGTGGCGCAATGGGTTAGCGCACTGCGGCATGTAGCCGGGCGACCCGAGTTTGTACGTATGCATGCGCGTTGAACTTCTTTCGCGCCCGCACGTAGCTAGCCGTGCTAATCGGAGGTGCGGCGGGGGAGGGGGGCGAACAAAGAGTGAGATTGCCAGTCACGGCTGACACGAGTGGCGAGTGACATCCGAACTGGCCTGCTGCTGTGCTGTAATGGTGATGGGACTGTCAGAATGGGCCTTGGAGGACATGCCAACTGTCTAACAAGAGGAAGACAGATGGGGGCGGTGGGTGGTGATGATGAGACTGTAAGAGCGGTCATCGGTGTACTCTGCGCGCGTTTCTACCGAGTAAGACGAACTCGGAGCAGGTGGCGGCAATCAATCAATCAATAAATTGTAGATTTGAAGCTTTCGTGACTGCAAGGATTCATATTCTTAGGGTTTTTCGGTGAAGTCACGTAAGTAGAAAAAGGCTCAGTCCCATTTACACGCACCTTTACATCAGCCGCACCTAGTTTACACAACAAAGGCTCATTTCTAACAGCGTGCTTCAGCCGCACCGAACCTCACAATTATAATATCCAGGGCCCACCTTGGCTCCTCCCACCCTCAACCAGTATATATACAAGGACTGTTTTCTTGGAATTTCTCTTACTTGATACAGCAATCGTGCTGTGACGGTTCCACCTGAAGACGGAAGCTTGTGTTGCCTCCGAAACGTCGTGATTTTTATTTTATTTTTATTTGACTTTTATTTTACAATCAATAAATGTTTAAATTTCGATTTAAAGCTTTCGTGACTGCAGGGATTCATCTTCTTGGTTCTTTCGGTAAAGTCACGTAGAAGGGAAATAATGAAATAATAAAAATATAACATAATAAAATAATTCTCACGACGTTTCGGCCACAACGCAAGCAGCCATCCTCAGGTGAAGACCAGGTCTGTCGGGGAGACAACGTCTCGGGGAGACAGCGTCTGAAGACGGCTGCTTGCGTTGTGGCCGAAACGTCGTGAGAATTATTTTATTAGGTTTTATTTTTATTATTTTGTTATTTCCCTTCTACGTGACTTTACCGACAGAACCAAGAAGACAATAAATGTTTATTTGTTACGCGCAAAGCTACTCTTGGCCAGTTACCCAGCGAGTTCTGCGAGCGACGGCGACGTTTCCGGACGAGCGGCCCTCGTTCAGGGCCACGTCAAAAACCGCGTATCAACGGGGAAGCACAAAAGTCCAAACGAGGCGAATGATTGTTTCTCGATGCAATCGCGAAGAGGAGGTTGCGACAAGCGGGGCCACGCGTGCTGGGCGGTGAAAGGCCAAGCGGCCGAGACCGGCGTCGGAGCGGCACCCAGAGGAAGACCTAGAACCAGACGGTGGTGGCGGTGGTGGCGGTGGTGGTGGCGGTGGTGGCGGTGGTGGTGGCGGTGGTGGCACCGGTGGTAGTGTGGAGCGGCAGTGTTAGCGGTTAGCGCGCTGGGCAACGAACCAGGCGGCCACGAGTTCATCTCCAGCGCACGGCCAACACCACTGACGATTATCTGAACCGGTCCTGGGCCTTCCCTAGCTCGACTCAGCCTCAAATGACTACCTGGTGTGTGATGCGTAAACATCGCCACTGTTGGGAGACAAAGGCGGCCGGGCGTGGTGTTGGCCACTAACCCCCTTGCGCGTGCCGTGCCGGCCTTCATAGGTGCTCGCTCACAGCACTTGCCCCAATAGTCTGTTAACGCTATACGGGGGATCTTTGTCTTTGGTGGTCAAGGGAATCTACGAGAAATCCCTCGGATGCTCGTCAGGGTTGCCATCGTTGCAGCAGTCGTCGGCTCTGGCCGAAGGAAAGCAGCGACGGCGACGATATTGCACGGATGTATGTTGAACTTCTTTTGCACCGTACGTAGACACAACTGTGCTAACGAGAGGTGCGAGGGAAGAACAAGAAACTAAACGCAACGAGCAGCAGCTCGAAAGAAATTCTTCGTCAATCGAGATTAAACAGCGCGTAGCTACGGTGGCTTCGTAACATCGCAAGGAAGTGAGCGTTCCAGACAGCCGCATTAAGCGCCATCCGAAAGCGCCCCCGCGATGCAGGTGACTATCTTGTGTTCGATGGCCAGCCAAGAGCCGCCGCTGCCGCCACCGCCGCGAGAATGACCGGGAGTTCTGCGTGACGGTTCACGCAATGAAGAACGGTCTTCTCTCGATTCTCACCCCACGGCGCATGTATGCCCACGTGAAGCCTCCAAGAGCGCTTCGCCCCGGATGCCAGCGTTCCAGGGTCAATTGTTCACCAACATTAATTTCCCAAAAGGGCCTCCTCCTCCTCCTCCTCCTTTAAACATTTCTGCTGGCGGCAGCAGTTAGCGTGGAATGAAAATACCGCGTTTGCGCGCTCGGCGATAATTGCGTCGGTGACTCAGTGAGCATGGTTTTGTGTTTTTTTTTCTCTCTCTCCTGTATATCTGAGCGCCATTCTCTGGAGGTACGAGGGGGGGGGGTGGGGGTGGAATATCAGACGGAGGCAGCGCAGAGCCCTTAATGAGCGTTTGATTTAAAACGAGAATGCGTGGTCGGTCGCCCCCCCCCCCCCGCCCGGGACACGAAAACAAAAAGCCAAAGATCCCCCGTATAGCCTTCGACAGACCGTTGCGGCAAGTGCTGTTAAGCGAGCAGCAACATCTGAAGGCCGGCACCGTGGCACACGACGGAGGGGTTGGTGAGTGGCCAACAACACGCCCGGTCGCCTTTGTATACCGCACGAGGTACTCATTTGAGGCTGAGTAGACCTAGGGGAGGCCCAGCGCCGGTCCACATAATCGTTGCTGGTGCTGTGGCCGTGAGCGGGAATCGAACCCGGGTCTCCGGGTATGAAGCGTAAGCACGCTAACCGCTGCACCGCCGCTCCCCACACACACAGTCACAAACGCACGTGTGTGCGCTATTCTAGCCTCTACTGGGCATTGCGTATGTGTGGAGAAGTTCTTTCGCACCGTACGTCAGAGGTCGCAACCGGGTACCCGATACCCGTACCCTACCCGATACCCGGCTACCCATACCCGGCCGGGTACGGGTAGCCGTTTGCAACCCTGGTGCGGCCGGGGCCGGGTACGGGTAGGCCGTGAGTCACTGGTGAGTAACCGTTTGTCACTCATTTCGGGTAGGGTACGGGTACGGGTAGGGAACGGGTACCCGTACCTGGCCGGGTACGGGTACCCATTTGCGACCCTGGTGCGGCCGGGTACGGGTACGGGTAAGGAATCAAAACCCGTTTGCGACCTCTGCCGTACATAGTCAATCGTGCTAATCGGAGGTTACGTAACTGAGCACGGATCGGTGATGAGCACTAACTATTTCACACCTTAGCCTCTACCGGGCAATCGGAAACTGGGCATGAAGAAGACCCATGGTGCACTGACGAGCGATAATTATTAGGAGGATCCCATGTGACACTGTAGCCTCTGCCGGGCATTCGGAAACTGTGCATGACTCACTGATGAACACTAATTATTACGAAGACCCATGGCGCATTGATGAGTGATAATTATTATGGGGATCGCACACTGACACCCATGTAAGACTCTGTAACTGTGCATGACCCAACTGATGAGTTTTAACAATTACCAAGTCTCACACCCCCCTACATACAAGCAAGGACCACCAATGCTGGTGCAGATCCAGATGTTAATAAGGGGGTGCTCATTAACAATCACGCAAAGACCAGGTTTCGCGCCTCCAATTTGCACGGTTGGCTGGCTTCGTACGGTGTGAAAGAAGTTCAACAGCTACATACTATTAACATTCCTTCCCTTTATTAATGTTACCCCTATCCCCTCCCTTTGATGCTGCTAATCCTGCATAATGCATGGGCATAATGACTTTAAACCCCTCGCCAAACCTCCTACGCATTTCACAATTAGTACTAATCGCATATCTGCATTTCCCATAAATATGCTAAATTCCTATTGATATGCAAATTATTTTGTCAAGACGCTCTTCCCCCCTCCATCCCAGCTGAAATAGTCGCTCCAAGCCTGGGGTGTGTCATTCAGACTCTGTCTTCTCGACAGACCTGTTCTACACCTGAGGACGGCTGCTTGCGTTGTGGCCGAAACGTCGTGAGAATTATTATATTACGTTTATTTTTATTATTTTATTATTTCCATTCTACGTGACTTTACCGAAAGAACCAAGAAGAAGTTCAACATACATCCGGTGCTTTGGTCGATCCACTGCTGGATGAAGCTCTTCCCATGTCGTCGTCATCTCGTCATGCACGACGGCACAGTGTGTCTCGCCCCTGCGCATGAGCCGACCTCATCACGTGGTTCAATGGCCTCCCCCCCCTTCATGGCCATTGGGCCACCTGGAACTGATAGGCCCAGCCCTG